CAACGTGCTTTCTGCAGCTTGTCTAACTCGTGTGGTGGTGGTGTGAAGTGAAAGAGTGCGCTAGTACATGCTAGTTCCTGCATCCAGCTCATTTTCCCTGAGTTTCTCTTCTGTAGTGTTTGCACCCCGCCTGCTGTGCTTCAGGCAGTTCTACTCAAACGCAGGTCAGTCTGCGCATGCCCGTCCAGGCATCTCGTCAATCTCGTTTAAGCGCGTGCATGTCCTGGCAGCCTCCAGGGCAGCTGGAGCCGACACCAATGTTTGCAGCCAGTGCCTCAGCTTCCCTGTGTTGCGAAAGATCGCTGTAACTTGTCGGGATGTTGCGTGGTTTGCCAGGTTGCGGTCTGTTGCCCAACGGGAGCGAAAAAGGTGGCTTGGCTTGCACTTGTCTCCCTGTTCTTCAGCATCAGATCTCTGCTACTGTGCACAGGCTGGAAAGGAGGAGTGGATGCGGCTTCGACATCAGCTGCTCCCTGCACTTAAGCACATGCTCTTGATCTGTCTTGGGAGAGCTCGGAATTTGCTGCCCCGGCAGCTGTTGGCCTCTCCAGCGTCGTCTTGCTATGCAGCAACCAGCGGGGTGTCGGTCAACTCCGGGAGAGTAGAGTCTGAAGCCGATGTGGCTGATGAGTCCAGCGAGGGTGAGGACAATGCCGAAGTTATCCAGCTTGCGAAGAAGAGAGTGGAGGAGTGTCGAGGTGAGACCTGTGATTTTGATGATCTCGATATTCTGGACGAGTTGGAAGCAGCTGCTTCCGTCATACGCAAGGAGAGGCGAGAGCAGAGAAGAAGACTGCGAGCAGCGCGCGAGTCCTGGATGCGAGAGACAAAGCGGGAGGCCAATCTTGCACTCGACGGGTCCATGCCGCCCACGGCTGTGGTGGAAGAGGCACCCTCCACCTTGTGGAAGCAACTTGCCACGGATGCAGTCAAGTCGGGTGACTACTATCTCGCGCAGTGGTACTATTCCAAAGAGGCATATTGCTATGGCCTGCTGGCTCCAGAGATGGAGCGTGATGAGGAGAATGAGAAGAAGGATGACGAGAAGAAGGATGTTCTTGAACGGGCTGTGGTTCTATCCAACCGATCGCATTGCCTCTGTCGCGTGCACCAGGCAGAGGCCGCTTTGCGGGACGCACGCTCCGCTGCTGCTCTGCGACCCGACTGGGCCCGCGCCTGGAGCCGCATCGGTGCGGCAGCCTTCGCCCAGTCGGCCTTCTCCGAGGCCTGCGAGGCCTGGCGCAAGGCCGTGCAGCTCGACAGCTGCGAGGAGAATCTCAGAGGCTTGGAGGAGGCGTGCCGGCGCAGGTCCAGCGGCTCCAGCGGCTCCAGCGGCTCCAGCGTCCGCGAATGCAAGGAGCAAGGCAACCTCGCGTTGCGCGGCAAGGACTGGGGATTGGCAATTTGCTGCTATACCGAAGCCTTGGCAGGTATTCCAGCACAGAAGTACATGGAACAATCCGACACGGCGATACAGGATGACTACAGCTTGCTACGCTGCATCCTTTTCTCCAACCGGTCAGCTGCCTTTGCAAGTGCCGGCCGTTGGCAGGCAGCTGTGCGCGACGCGCAGTGTGCGGTGGCGGAAGGCCAAGCCTCAGGCTACCCGAAGGCCTTCTGCCGCCTTGGCGTTGCCTTACTCGCCACTAGTGAGAACGAAGGGGCCTACAGAGCCTTTGCCTCTGCTCTCCGAGCAGAAGAGCGAAACCTTGCTGCCAGCAAGGGTCGACAGAGCTGCCTGCAGCTGGCACCCCGCTGGTCTTCCAAGGCTGCCGCGTATCGTCGAAGGAGATTCCTTCGCGACGCAGGACGACCGAGATGCAGGACACGGGCCTTTCTTCTTTCGGAGTTACGTTTCGGACAAGGCTCCAATGAGGCTTGGGTGCATGGCATCCATGCGACCAAGTTCCTGGACGATGTCCTCATCTTGACAGGGAACGTTGCAGACTCCTTTCGAGCACTCGAAAGAGGTCTGACGGAACCTTAAACTTCTCCGGAGCCAATCAGAGAGTTTCGCAAAGCACGTGGAACTCACAGACTTGACTGCTTTGACTCTCTGAGGACCGCCTTGCGCTCCAAGTTCCGACGGATCTTCTTTGTTCCGGGGAACAACGAGATGTGGATCACACCGGTTGAGATGGAGAGGTGCCGTGTGCCGCATGTGCCGCTGCATGCCGTGACAATTTGAAGTGCCGCTTTCCCGAGGTTCCCAGACTCCGTTTGCAAGTTTTGGGCCATCCTGGAGGTCTGCGGCGTTGGCTGCATGTGCCCCTCACCCCGCTGCCCGTGCTCTTGGATTCCTGGCCCCAGATGTGCGATCGGCTTGGTGTGGACGTTGCTCCGGCGGCCATTTGCGAAGGCAGTGGCTGCTGTGCCGGTGAGCAGGGGTGCCCACCAAGCCTTTCACACAGGAGTCTACGTGGTCCCTCTATTCTCGTGGTACAACGCTGAGTTTGACGTCGCGGACCCGCGGCTCGGAGACAGTTCGGTCTTGTACTGTGGCAAACTTAGCAGATCTTAGCAGACTTGGACAGATGCAGCCTACGTTCTGAGAACCAGCTGAGCTACTGAACACAGCTTGTTGCGAGGGGCTTGCCCCACTCCAGCATGCCGGTCTCTTGCGTGATATCCTGTCAAGGTTTCCAGATGCTCAGCTCCAGCACGACAAGTGCGCTGTTGCCTCCAAAGTGTGAATCTTCCAGATCCCGGCTGACTCGTCGAAGCATCTCAAGCTTCCGGAGCTGCCTCGGAGCTTCACGATGCTCCACGGTGTTCGCCGGCTTCTCGTCATCCGCTGGGCTTTCTTGTCAGGATCGACCGACGGAGGGAGGGAAGGAAACGATGTGGGGAGGCTCTAAAATACCTGCTTGAATCCTGCCCGCCAAGTTGCGGCATCCTAGGATTTGCACCACCGAGAAATGGTCGGAAGATGTCAAAAGAGACAGACTGACAGTAGTAACACGAAAACAGGCAATGCTGCACTTCCAGGGCTTGGCGCTCTGTCAAGTATGAGCACATTTCTAGCAACAGGTACGCCAAATGGCCTATGGATCCGAACCATCAGGCTTCGGTCGATGCAGTGCTTGAGGAAGGTCAGAGTTGTTGAAGCATCCGTGAACGAGGTGTGGCGATACATGTTGGCCTTGAACAGGGACTATCTACAAAAACCGTTCCTTTGATGGGATATTGGCTTTTTTTGGAGGTTTGGCCTATGAGTTCATTCGGCTCTTGTCTGCTTCGGATGCTCAGTTTGAGGTACCACGACACTGTGATCACATGCTCGCACTTCGTTCCGAGAAGCGAACTGCCTGTACGAAGCTGAGCTGCCGAGGCATTCTGACACGAATCTTCCATGTCCGTTGCCGCCCAGGTTGTGCAGGAGTTTGGCATGGCGAAGGCTTTGATGCCACTCTTTGTTTGGGCCTACATTGCTTCACCAGCTTGCGAGTCCTTTGCCGTTGAAGGCATCGGGCTGCGCCGAGCTTGACGACCAACTTCGCCAAGCAAGGCCTGTTCACTATAGTCACTGGTCACTTAGGGGAACCCGGCATAGTCCTGGAGTGTTACTTGTACGTTTCGTTCTGTCTGAAGGAGCAGCTGCCATGTCTATGGGCACAGCTCCAAGCAGTGTGGAAAGGCTCGAGACCGTGACACCGCAGCGAGTTCCAAAAACCGCACGAGAGTCGCTGCCAGGAAATTGAAGGTGTTATTTATCTCAATGCTCCACATAAAGGTGGAGGGTGCCACGGCGGCACTTGAGTGAATGCAGCGAGTAGCCCGAACTGAGTATCAGGCACACTCGCTGCTAAGGTTGGAGGAGCCAATACCGTGAGATGCTCAGACAATTTCATGAGACGGTTGCAACATTGTGCGGTGGACGGTTCCCGTTCTCGGACTTTCAGAAACTCATAGTAGGCTTTTGTTGACAGATGCATACGTTTTTGAGGTGCATCTTCAACGGAGACAAGGTTTGCTGTGAGATGGTGTCTGTACATTAGCAAGTTAACGGTTGGGTTCAACATCTTCCATTTCTTTTGGATGAGAGACTCAGCCATAGCCACGCTGGCCGCCTCTGCAGACGTTGGGATGCAAAGTCGGCATGGGTTTGCAGACTGCAAAGCAGCATGCAGTTCCCCAGCTGCCCTTTTTTGTGCACTTGCATTCGATTCAGAAGGCATGCCTGCACAAGCGCAGCAGGCCAGGCAGATGTGAAGACTGAGTTGACTCTGTAGCATTTCTTGAATTAGTTGCTCCGAAGAAGAGCAAGCAATCAGTTGAATCTCTAGAGTAACGAGGCCGTGGCGCTGGACAGCAGTGGACAGCTACCGCCATGGAGTGTTCAAGTTATCGAGAAATTTCGTAATTGCTGCTGCGTGGGCGCCCCTTGCGAGCTCAAGCAGGCCGAACGAAACTCTGCAATCTAAGAATGTGTGCGAACGAAGCACACGAAATTCGGATTGCATCAGCTCTCGCCCAAAGATTTGGCGGCCATCGATTTTCCATGGGTGAAGTCAGTATTGGCGGAGGAGTGCAGGCTTCCCTTCTGTCGACTTCTCATGCACCATATTCGGTTCTTGCCAAGGTTACCGAGGGTTAGCGGAGATATTCATCTGTGGAGATGCATGCCGGTCAGCGACAGCGGCCTAAGCTGAATATTATTCTGCTGCTCACCAATCACTGGAGTAGCGTCCACACCACAGCCGCAGGGGCAGCCTGTGCTGAAGTGTTTTGCAGAGCACGTGCGTGGGTAAGCCAAGGTTGATGCGTCAGTGACGGACTGGAAAGAGCGAACTGCAAGCCATCCCAAACTGACCATGGAAGCCCCCTTGCTGCATTGTTTCTTGCGAGCTTCTGGATAGAGCAAGCGCATGTCCACGAAGATGGTATGGTACTAGCCGTGATTCGCATACTGCGACGAAGACACGAGCGAAGCCCTCGACCAGCAATTACGTCACGACTCACATTATCCCGAGCAGGGATCCTTGGAATGTCAGACAGCAATGGCGATCGAGCTGGAGACCTTTCTGGGCGCCTGGAAGGCCCCCAAGTCCCCAAGTGTTTCATTTTTTGATGCCCACCACTTCCTCCCCACGCTACGTCCTTGCTCCGCGGCCCATAGGACTCTCTGGGCAATGAAGTCGCTGTGAAGCGCACGAAGAACGGAAGTCGAGGAGGAGCGCCGCCGCCTTAGCTTTTGACTGCCCTTTGCTGTGCTTAAGAAAAGCAGAGATGTCAAAAAGAGACATGGGCCTCGAGGTTGAATGTGCTCCTTTCCAAGCCCTATAGCAGCCCAGACCTCAGATGAGTCAAGAAGTTGTGCGTAGAGCTAGAAACTGGAGCCTGGAGCAGCTTTTGGAAGGCAGGCCACCGATCAAGCTGGATGTGAAGTCTGTGGGATCTGGGCAGTTCGCTTGCGGTCGGCAGCCTAAGTTGCGCGATTCTGGTGCACCGTCGGTGGCGACCTCAAGATGGTCAACTGAGGCCACTACGACTTGGACTTGGAGAACAGCTCCGACAATCGTCGCATGGCTGGCATTCTGTTTTGCATCAGCATCAACTTCATGCACGAATTTGGTCTGCGGCTTTCCGAGAATCTTACTGCTCCTCATGATTGGGCACAAAGGTTCTCAAAGGTTTCATCCTGAGTGGGGTTGCTCCCTTTTCAGAGAAAAGTAGTCGCTGACATCGGCTATCCGTTGCCGGCTTGGCCTTGGCGCCTGGAAGCACATGTGAGGTACAGGTAGGTGTTGTTGCGCGGAGGAAACTGAAGGTCCGACCGACAACGAATGCGTAAGCACATGCGGGCACAGCATCATACCATTGCAAAAATCTTCGTTGGAATGTAGACGAAGTTTACGGGCTTGCGGAAGGGCGAGGAGGGCTGTGGAAGGACGGTGCGCATTAAGTAGCTCATTGAATATTACCTGATTCTAATGCTGATACTAATTGCTAACGTTAATCGTAATAGTCAGACCACTAGGAATAGTAATGCCCATGTTAGTGCTAAGTCTAGTTTTAATATCAAAAAGTACTAATACTAATACTGCTACTAATGCTAATGCTAATGCTCATCATGATAGCTGTCATAGTAGTCATCATGACAATAGCAAGAATACTAGTCGTATTGAAAAATGATAACCATAAGAGAGCAGTAACAATGATAGTAGCAGTATTGATCATAGACCGTTGTACGTAGTAATATCAGTAATATTTATAGTAATAGCTATAATAACAAGAACAACATCCATAGTAGCAGTAGTAGTAGTAGTAGTAGTAGTAGTAGTAGTAATGATGATAAAGGTGATGCTTGGTGAGTACGGTGACCATCGTCATCACCAGCAGCATCAGCATCAGCATCAGCATCAGCATCAGCATCAGCATCCTCATCATTATCATCATCATCATCATATCATTGCCATCATCATCATCATCACCATCATCATCATCACCATCATCACCAGCATCAGTATCATTCTCATCACCAGCATCAGTATCATTCTCAGCATCAGCATCAGCATCATCATCATCATTATCGTCACCACCACCACCACCACCACAGCAGAAGTCATCGGTGGCTAGCGTTCAACACTGAGAGCTCCAAGCCAATGCTCTGGAAACGGTTGGGCAAAGAGACACCTCACATGTAATACAATATGCCAGTCTGCATGTCTATGTGAGTAGTGGGCCGAGGCATTATCTGGGTCGACCGAAAGAATGCTCGAAAGACGTCTACGTGGGAGCGGGTAGATCGTACCTTGCTTGCAATCGAGATCGAGTTGTCAGCAAGCGGTGTGGAGATGTGCAAAAAGTTCGAAGTTCTGAAGATCGTACTTGTTCATCGGCTTGGTGAAAGTCCGCTGGATCTGCAGGTGACGTGCGTCGCGACAGCCGCAGTCCAAGCCGGAGCCGGAGTCGAAGCCGGAGCCGGCGCCCGCGCTTGCCTCCCCGTGCCGGCGACCCAGGGCTACCCAGGGCTACCCAGTGCCTCTTCAAGTGCGCTTACCGTTTCGCTGCCAAGGGCATTCCTCGAGTAAAGGTTGTGCCAGCTGAACCTGAAGGGCGCCGTCCTTGATCCAAGAGCTGCTGCCTGTGCTGCCTCGCACTGTCGGGAGGGAAGAGACTTCATGCCAGGCCGTGGTCCGCTGGATACGGCTTGCCATCTCCTGTCACTGCCTTGCCTCGTCCAGCTCTTCGTGCAGGTAGCGCTGTTTTGCTTGAGGCGGCTTACTGGGCGCAGGCGGCGCCTGCATGGCCGGAGCCACGATCGGCTGGGGCACCCAGAAATGTTGGGAGTCCAGGGAGATGTAGCGAAGTAGAGCACGAGGCTGCAGCCAGCGGCACCACCCCTGGAGCTTGGGTTCCACCAAGCCGGGGCCCGGACTCCATTACGTGCCAGCAGCAGACGGTTGGAAGATGTCGAAGATTGGCGAAGTCGGAGGCATGGAGGAAGTCGAGACTGCGAGCCAGACACTCGCACCTTTGCCTTCTCTGGCTTTGCCGGCACCGGAAGCAGGCCAGGAGCACGAGCAGCAAAAAGCTTCGCCACAGCGCCTGCGCACGGAAGAGGCCCTTCGCCTCCAGCGGAGGCTGAAGGCGCTGGTATCGTCAAGCCGACAGCTCAGCGCAGATAGGGCCGCTAGGCTAAGGTGAATGGATTTGAAGGGACGTCTCCATGAGCGTAGGATTCTTGAGTACCCTTAGGCCCATTGCACGGGCCGTGCCTGTGAAAGTCGTTAAGCCGCCACCTTTGGTGGACCGTGCACTATGCTGTGCTGCTGTGCAGAAGCCATGTTTCACGCATCACCGCTGGAAACGCCTAGACCTAGCCCAAACTTGGAATTGCAGGACGAAATGGAGGAGTTTGACAAGTTGCTGCTTCAAGCTGAGGCCACGTCGAAGGTGTCTTGCTTCAAGCCTTTGCAGCTGCTTGCAGCTTGTGGCAGGCAAGCAAATGGAACCCAGGCGAGGATGGTCAACTGATGGTCAACGGAATGATGAGGGTCACACCTTGCAGCTTTGCCAGGTGCTAGCCAGCTGAGCCCGGGGGCTTGGAGTGGAGCCAGGAGCTGTATAGCACTGTGGCGACCCTTGAGTGCCTGTGCGCTGCCGGCCCGTGGCCGCCGTAGCCATCTTTCTCAAGGTGGCTTCGTAGTTTGTGCATTACAAGACATGAGATGTTGGAGGTGTTGCGGGTAGTCCCACACGCCTCGTGATCCCAAATCTATTTCCTGCGAGGCCGACGCTCGCGGTACTGCTTCTTGGCCTTCGCTGCAGTCCAGGCTTCGGTCCTGTCGCGCATGCCCACTTTGTCCATGTCACCTGCGGCCACGCTCGAAGACCGGCTGTTCCCCTTGAGGCCAAGTTATCGGCAAGTATCCGGATGCCACCAGTCTCAACATCTCAGAATCCGCGCATGCTCTCGTCTCTCGCGTGACGCCTGCGAAGGTCCAATATGAAGCTTTGCGAGACGACCATTGCTTAAACCCAAATGGGACTTCAGCCGCGCTCTACTGCAGCACGAGCGTTGCACACTCCAGGCAAGTAGGATTCTCATGCTGGAGACATGTTCAGCATGTTCATCCTGTGGGCTTCCACCTCCTGGTGGCAGGAAGGCTTGTGACGAAGCTGGAGGCGTCTCGTCCAGCACCAGATGTGCGGGTAGAACATTAATTTTTGTGAATGCAGGTCTCTACGAGGCAAAATGGGTATTGGCGGTAATGCATAGCCGTCTGCTTTGAGTCGGATTCGGGGCATGGCTTGACCCGGGGCAACGCTTTTCAGTGCTGGAGCGCAGCAACACATTGACATACAGTGTGCGTGCGGAAGTAGTCGTCTTCCATGCAGCGGCACATGTGTCCACATCGTTTCCGTGCCTTAATGATGGCCGAGGCAAGTACGATGACAAGATCACGGAGAGTAAGCATGCGTGCATCAAGCAATGCACGACAGAGGGCGACCTTTGTGTAGGAGTGCCTGGACCTGGCTTAGATGTTCCAGGGCGGTTTTAGGGATTCCGGCAGCCCCTCGAGTCAGAGAGCCAGACGGGTGTCTCAGGTGAGATGGCAGGCCGTGTTCAAGCACTGTACCATTTTGTACGGGACCTGCCAAGACTCGGACGATGGAGTCAACTTCCAGAGCGAGTACTGGAGGAAATTAATTCCCTCAGACTTCGCATCCGCCTGAGTTACCTCAGACATTTCGCGAGGCTATCATATCAATACAGCCTTAGAAAGGCTTGTTCATGCCGGTCAGTCTCAGGATATACCAAAAGTGGGCCTGTCCACCTGCAACGGGACGATGCTGACCTGTAGTGAGGACGGCACAGAACCTTGGATGCCACGGCTCCATGTGTTTGAATGTTTCTGCTGCGATCTCTTGTGCGATCAAGGACCCTTGCGAGGCCTTCGATGGTTGCCTGAAGTTGTACCATGGCTGTGGGGGCAAGCTGGTGCAATGTAGCCTGGATGCCTCTTGCAAGCAAGACCCTCGCTCGGTGCATGCTGGCATGTTGAACCACCGGAAAGCCCGACGACGTGTCAGATGCTCGCAAGCGTTTTGCATCAACATCAAGGGTTGCAGGGTTCCGGAATGCTTTCTCCATGTGAGGTTTCCGGCGTCTGCAAGGGCACTCTGCCGTGTCACCAGCCATGTGCCGCTGCCGCACTAGCTCTGGAAGGGCAGCGTGAGAGTCGGCACTGCTAGTCGAAGGCCCATGCTTACAGCTGCTTACACCTGGGGCGGAAGTCAGGTACCGGTCAGCTGAGACGAGGTAAGGTAGACTGCCGAGAGCTTGACAGAGCTAGCTGCCTCCATGGCACCCTGGCTGCGTTTCATCTCAGTTGCCACGCTGCTTTGCAGATATTTCTGACTGCGAGGCTTCGTCCAAAGAGGTGACCGGCTGGGCGAGGAGTGCATGCTGGTTGACGAGAGGAGCTGCGTAGCCAGGAGAACTTGTGGGAGACTGGGCTGCATCGCTCAGTTTCACCCATGCCGTGAATATCTGCAAGCTGCATTCACCTCTATCCAAGGGTTATTTACGATGAGTGACAGAAGACTTTGCCTGAGTCGCCTCTGCTGTACATAGCTGGTTCTGCATTGCGATGCCTCTAAAGAGGCCGATAGGCTGGAGTCACTTGCGGATCAGACACCGAACGAAGCTACGCCTCGTTCCGTGCACGTAGATATGCTGGCGAAAGCAGGGCAGGGCACATGTTGTGGGATTGGAGCCTGTCCTGCTGCATGTGTTTTCCTCGGTTTCGCAGCAGTTACTTGCATCTCCCAGTGCCTCGCTCTTGCCCAGAGCCACGGGTGATAAATGTGCAGCTGCAGACCTCCTGCTTTTGTAATTACTGGGCACGTAGAGTCTTGAAACATCCTCCCTACAGTTTGCAGTCCGGCTTTCTGCCTTGTCAAGCTAAGTTTGCATCTCATGTGAGCTTGATCTTCGATGACGCTGGCCAAGGTGCAAGCTCCAGCAAGCCTGGCCCTTGGCCCGTGAAGCAGGCGGGAGTTGTGCCGCCGCCCTGTTCCCTTTCCGAACTCTGCGGCATCATCGCTGTGGCCGTTTTGCAGGAGTCGGCGCAGGCAGCGTCGGCGGCGCCAGTAGCATCGGCAGTGGCGCCGGCAGCGACGCCAGCAGCGGCGCCAGCAGCGACGGAAAGAAGCGAAGCCAACGGCGGCTCTGGTGTGGGGGCCATGCAAGCACCCGCAAGGGAGCGGGAAGTGGAGCAGAGACAGCCCACACCCCCAACACCCCCCACAACCCCCACAACCCCCATGCCCCCCAGGCCCCCCATGCCCACGTTCGAACGAGTCAAAACGGAGCCCACGGGCACCAAGACATCACAAGCTTCGAACGATAGCAAGGAGCAGTTGGCACAGCATGTGGCTCGGGGGCAGCCGCAGCAAGCGGAGCAAGAGCAGAAAGAGAAAGGGAAGACGGGGAAGAAGGAGAAGAAGGAGAAGCCTAGCAAGCAAACCGTCAAGCCGAAGCGCTCGCTTCCTGGCCTGCCAACTTCCGTCAAGCTTGAATTGGTGGAGGAGGAGGTGCAAACTCCGCAGGGCACAGAGACAGCTAAAGCTGGTGGACACGAGGAGCCGGCCCGGGATCCTAGGCGACGGCCCGAGAAGGACCAGGACGACGAGCATGTCCAGGTTCTGGTTGATCCGTACCTGGAGGTTCCGGCGCTTCCGGAGCCCAAGTCCACCTTGTCAGTGGAAGTCCTCAGCCAGCCGCAGCCGCAGCCGCAGGCAGTTGCCACTGCAAAGCAGCCGGTGGCAAAACGTCGAACGAGACCCGCTCCCAAGAAAGCCATTGTCAAGGTGCCGCCACCAGTCCCAGGCATGGTGACGACCCCGGGACTGTCAGAAGTCCCCCAGACACCGGGACCTATGCTCTCACAGCATGAGAGAGATAGGAAGCTTCAAGAAATCAAGCTGCTCCTTGAACAGCAAACATCAGAAGTGACACCGATTCCTGCGCCACCCCTCGCCCCGGCACCGCATCCAAACTCCCTGGCACCCCCGACTCCTTTGACTCCCATGACGCCCATGACCCCCGCGACCCCGATGACCCCCATGACTCCCTCGACGCCCATGACGCCCATGACGCCGACGGTGCCGATGTCCAAGAGTGCTTCCATTGCGCCTCGAGCCGAGGATTCAGAGCTGCAGTACATGTCTAGGAAGTTTCTCTGATTCCCCTATTCCCTGATGGTTTTCTCCGACTTGTGCTCTGGACTCTGGCCGCCTTGTGAGGACGATGCGGAGAAGCGTCTCCAGGCCTACTCCCAGTTGCTCCTTGGAGACGATGCCGATGCAGCCGAGGAGCCACCTTCTCTGTTTCGCAGAGAGTCAGTCTGAGAGTACTCGGAGTTCTCAAAGCTCGCAGTGACAGGCGCCCTGGAAACGCCAGGGCAAGCGACGGCGTGTGGATTTGTGAGCTTAGAGGCCCGGCCTGGCGTCCAAAGAGGGCAACTCGTGGGCAGAGACAAGGCGGACTCCGTAAGACAGGTGTTCGCTGAAAGCATCTCAGCCTGCCGTGGAAAACAGCTTTGTGCTTTGCAATTGACTTTCAATGTCGGCCATCAGTTTGTTAGTTTACCGGACCTGTGGGGTGCGGCCTTTCGCCATGTCCTATCGCCGGTCTCAAAGTCCATGCTGTTTCGGAACGAACATGGTAAAGTAAGGACAGAGTGGATGCGGCCACACTCCGCTGGCCTGTATGCGTGCGAGTGCAAGCGCGAGCTTCACCCGCGGGTCCTTGTGCGGAGAATGACGAGACCCCTCAGCTTGATTGGTCATCCGGGCACAAGATTCCGTGTGTTGTTCCGGGTTCGTTACCTTTTGCGACTCGGGGCTGCGGCATGCCCGGAAGCCGGTGCCGCTGCCGGCCAGTGAGGTCAAGAGGCGGCTCGACCCCATTTGCCCATCCGCCTCCATGCCCAGCCCCAGGATGTTCGACGGACCAGTGCGAATGAACCTTGTTCAGGATTCTGGAGTTGCTGCAGAGCGCTGATCAGATGCGCATCAGGGCAAGCCTATATAGCGCGCGTCGCATATGTGGCTACAGGTCGATTGGGGGCGCCATCAAGCCCGTAAAATCGTTCGCCATCTTTCACTTCAGATGGTACATCTCAGATACCCATATGCAAACGGAAAGAACTGTTCTGTTCCAAGACCTAGACTCTACCGGCCGAACTCGAAAGCTCGGCTTGCGGCTTATGGCACCAGCGGCATGTTGCGCCTCGTGGATGGATGCGTTGCCCGCGCTCCCAGTCCGAAGCCAGGAGTGGGCGCACTGGACGGCTAAAAGTGCCCCAGCTGAGGGCAGGCTTTTGCCCCACACAAAGCATAAAGCAAAGGATAAAGGATCCAGGAAGTCGTTCACGAGGCTGGCGGCGTTACGGATGTGCGACAGATTGCGACAGCTACAAGCGCTAATGCATGCTGCCCGCCTTTGGCCCGGCTTCTCAGGCGATGTTGCGCTAGCAAAGCGGGGCCGTGCCCGAGTATGGCGAACAGCCGTACCTCGAGCCTCAGGCCATGGAGCTGGCTGTTGCGGCTGCCGATGCCCATACTGCCCGTTGTAGGCGTGTGCCCTCGGCCCCGATGCGAGCTTGTTGACCGTTACGCGTCACGCGCTTGTTTGCCCATGCACCGGCTTGCTCAGACCGGCCACGACCGCCGCGAGAGTGGGTCCCAGTAGCCCCTCAGGGCGTACCTGCGCGTGTATTGGCTATTGGGCATCACTTCAGCAAGTCCTCTCTGAGGCCGAGGCTCCGATGACGCCCGATACCCATAAGAAGGCGGCTCTGTTATGCAAGCTGCGCGCTCGCCCCTTCGCTCTGGCCGATGCCGCCTTGCTGTCTTTGCACTGCAAGGCCTGAGCGTGGACCTCGGAAGTCCAGCCTTGGTCGGCAACGCTCGTACGCTACTGCGGGTGCCTTCGTTTCCCTCCTTGTCGATGGACTCGCGAACTGGCCGATGGGCAGCCCAGCCGCATGGTTTCGCTAGCCGCATGACGCGAGTCCATGCTGCCCCGATCTGGGTTGCAGCCTTGTTTCGGGCGATGCAGCTTTGTGCAGGATTAGGCCCGCGAGATCCCACGAGGGTGGACATAGCCACGAGCTAGTCATGCTCCGGGCACACTCCCTCCCCTGCCGTCTCTTTTGGTGACATTCCCCTCACCGAAAGCCGCCGAGACGCTATCCGCGAAGGCATCGCTCGGCGGGCTCGGACGTGTAACCGCCGGAAGGACCACGCCCGCCAGAGGCCCACGCGGCCGGCAGCTTTGGCGGTTGCTGCATGGCTGGCAATAATGTAACTGGCTTAACTGCAGTGCCCGCCGAGCCAGCACTACAGACGTCGCCCAAGACTGGGATAGGTTGCTGTACGTTTCGGTGAACAGCGCACGTAGTTTGAAACAGAAATTGTGCATCGCAGCACTGCCAAGGAGAACCGCAACAAAACCGAAGTGCGCGCAAGCGGCAAGTGTCAATCAAAGGAATTCACCGCAATTTGTTGAATTCATGGTCCCTGGCTGTCGAGCGAACAAAGCCTTGCTGCCCCCGAGTCGCTGTGTCGGTACGGGGCGGCGGCCATCGCCGTGGCACGCCGTCGCAAGCTGCGGCCAGGCCCCTAACGCCTCGTTGTTCTAGCTGCGGAAATAACTGGGCGGCGCACGACCTGGTCCGTCGCCTCGTTCGCCGAGGCGCGAGCAAAGGCTAGCCGGCGAAGGAACGACGCTGCTTCCGGGCCCAGCGGCTGCCGACCTCGAGGCCAAACACTACGAAACAGTACTTTCTGGAAGTGTCTAAAGTCAAAATTCTAAATTTGCCGGCGCTCGCGCCTCGCTGCGCTTCGCGGCCGTGCATGGGCGGGCATACACACCCGGTGGTGGGCGCTCGTTTGCGCATTCTGCGCCCAGCGGCGACACCAGCATTCAAGTGGGGCTCAGGCAAGCAGCTGGTTTCGGTGGCCAAAAGCAGGCGTGCTTCAGCCAACACCCGGGCAAAGCAGGCGCTTCGCCGGAAGCTCCGGGTTCAGATTCGGAGTCGGGAAGAAGATTGAAGAAGGTCGAGGAAGACAATGTGCCTATCAGCATCAATGCTCCAAAGAAAAGCTTTCCTGCAATACCTGGGCGCGAAGTTCGCGAAATGCCAGATCCTCTCGAGTTACTCGAGGTACCGGCAATGAGACTTTCATTAGCAATCTGATCAGAACGACACAATCCCGGAGGGCTTGCAATGACTGCTGCTGCAGTCTGAGGTGGTGCCTGTGGGACAATGGGCGCAGCCTTAGCTGCGGAAGATGAAGAAGCTGAGGCTTGCACAAGCGGCTGTGTCGGCGGAAGGAATGGCACGTTTGACGGCCAATTCCAAGACGAATCATCAGACCAAGACCAGTCCGAAGACCAATCCGCTGAGTCTTCGTACCACCAATCACCATACCAATCGTCCTCAGTCCATGCACTGTCCTCGTACAAAGCGCCGTGGTACTCAGACCAATCGTTACTCTCAATGTTCTCTGAACTCTTTTCAGTCCACTCAGCGCTCCAATTTTCGTTCCATTCCTTTAGCTTTTCCTTTGAATCCTTTCATGAAAGGAATCGTTTTCCTTTACCCTTTTGGAATCTTTTGTCACCTTTACCTTTGTACAATCCTTTTCCTTATCCTTATCCAAATCCTTTTCCATTCTTTCCTTTCTTTCCTCCCTTGTACCATGCTGCTCCACTGTCCATGGGTGCATGTCCTCCGTGGTCCTGCAATTTTCCACTTACCAAGTGCCTACTTTGATAATACTCCTTCACAATCATAAGCAGCTAATCAAGCGTCTTCAATGTGTTTGCTTGCAATCCAGCGTACCTGTCATTCCGGAACATCCTCCCTTGAGTGCTCCTATTTCTCGTGACGCACCATTGCTGGAAAGCCATTCTTCGTCTGAACCCGATACTGACATTCAGTATCTTGAAGAACAGACAGAGCAACAGGATCGATTGGCAGCATTTCACTGCAAGTCAGGCATTGCCGATAGATCCTGGATTCTGTTTGACAATGGGGCATCTGTGAATTGTTGTCCACCTTGGTTTGCCAAGGACTATCCATTGCTTCCTATTAGGAGTGCTTGTCCTATGCTTCGTAGCATTTCGGGCAAAACTTTGGACATCATTGGAAAGCACATCATTGAGCTTGATTGTGGAAGTCATTCCCTCTGCGTGCATTTTTATGTCAGTAAGAGCATTACCTTTCCATTGGTTAGTGTTGCTCGATTTCTATTGCAGGATTTCTGGACAGTCATGAGTCGCAGCTTCCTGGCATTGATGACGCCGACAGGCACAACTGTGCCTCTCATCCGCCCACGCACTTTGCTCTACATGACACCCACTGTTGTTCCTTACGAAGATTTGGATTGCCAAAACTAAGGATACAGGCTTTCCTACGCGTTCAGAATCCTAGAATTCTGATTACTGGATTGTCAATTAGCAAAAGTGTTATCTCACCCGTCATGATGTCAAGCCTCGTAAAACATTGTTCGGATTGAGATACCTTCGTGGTGAGCTTGCGGTCGACGAGTGTCGATTGACAGGATGGCGATCATGTGAACTAGCATTCACTGATGGCACATTTGAAGGCATTGTTGATGAAGAATTCCGAAATAAGGATGATGATAAAATTCAGTCGTTGGCAGGCCAGCCGGCAGCCATCACCCCCAAGCCACCAAACCGCAAAGGGAGTTGGGCGAGGCGAAGGGAAGGCTGAGGCAATGGCTGCGGGGCAGGGAATCCTTCGGAGGCAGGGTTGCAAGGCATGCGCACACAGCTGCGTCGTGCTCGCGCGCAAAGGCTCCAGTCGCGTCAGGTGGGAGCATCCGAAGCAGGTAATTTGCTCGTGGAGAAGCGCAGAAGAGAAGGAGGATCCATGCGCACTGCAGGTCCCCAACGGCGGGCAAGCAGGTGAGCAAGTGGTCCTGGGTCTCACGTTTACAACGCAGCTCCAGTTGTAAAGCCTCGCTTCCGAGCGGCGCTCCCAGCTCCAGCAGTCTTTGCTGGTCCGCCGGCAAGGACCAGGCGCCCCTCCAGACGGGCTCTGCGCGGACTGGTTGGAGACGTGCGAGACCGGCAGGCTCCGCACCGGCGGCATTCCATGCGCGGGTTATGCCTTGATTCAAGCGTGTGCGCGCATGGCGCCACAGCGCGTCCTTCAAGGCGCCGTGCAGCCCAGCCGTGCGATCTGGTGCTGACACGACCTGTGTCGTCCGCTCAAAGCGGCGTGTTGTGCCAGGGAGAATAACGCCGGCATTATCCGGCATTAGCGGATCTCGTGGCGGCGCGCAACTTGCTCCAGTACGAGGGCACCGCTCTTCGCCTGGCACGCAAGGCTAAGGAACGCACCTACCCTGAGTTGCTGCGCTCTCAGAGGTGCCGGCTTGTTGTCCTTGCAC